GGGGGGGCATGATGAACACGCCCTTACAGAAAGCCCTCATGCCATGACCATGGGCATGATGAACATGGGCTTCCCATGGACGTCCTAATAGCCATGATCATCACGTAGTCATCATGGGTTAGCACATGCCCCTGATCATGGGCAGCCCATGTTCATCATGCCCTTCATTATTGCCTCCCCAAATAAATGTAAAAAGTTCGAAATTTCCTCAAAAGTCGAATTTATTTACAAACAAGAGTAAATACATTCAAACAAGACAAGTTTTTCATGAAATTGACAGCAATACAAAACTGAGCAGACACAAGATAAATTGGAACATGCACTTATTTGAAACTGAAATCACAGAACAAGTCTACATTACTGTCATTTTTTAATGAGCTTTGAAGCAGGAGTCTGTTTATCATTCTTAACAACACTTTTGAATACATCATTAAATGATTCCAATTTTTATGGAAATGAATGATATAAAGAGTTTAAAGAAACTATAACAGCTCTGCCTCCAACACATGAACAAAGTGAATATTTTCTAAAACTTTAAAGAAATTAGCACTTTTAAAATGGCTCAAACACAATAAAATGCCAATACATGCAATAAATTGTAAGATGTCCAGGCAGCAAATGATGAACCCCACTCTTCCTGATGTAGTGTGTATCTTCTGTCCAGTGGGTCCATGGGGCTGGCTTTCTTCCTTCTGCAAAACAGAGAACATGGTGCAATTAGGATCACATACAACACTCAACAGTACTTTTGAAAATTAACCCATTCTCAAATTTTGAAAGAAACCTACATAGTTTCTACTACAAGCAACAAGCTTCATACTTCTTGCAAGGCTAAATTCCCTGAAAAAGAGATTATCATCCCATTTTATAAAAAATTTTGTATGCTGTGTGAGTTGGAGATTCTAGATTTTTGTTACTATAAGTAAAAAATTCTACAGTCCATGCACAATCAAGTCAAAAATTTTTTTGTACAGAGACTATTGAAAAAAATAAGCTTGTTAGAACAAAGTTTCTTCAACATTCTTCAAATGAAAAACCTGCAGGGAATAAGGAAAAAAATCCTTACTTAGTGGTAGTCCATTTCTTTCAGGCAAAACAAATATTTTCACAGGCCCTGGATTCCAGCAATGAGTCTTCTTTCTGTAGATCCACCATCTTCACCTGAAAACCAAAAAACATACTTTAGTTAGTTTTTTCTTGAGAAAACCCTGTTAACTACTTGTGTTTCTTCCAAGTAATCCAACAAGACAAGTTTTTCATGAAATTGACAGCAATAAAAAACTGAGCAGACACAAGATAAATTGGAACATGCACTTTTTGAAACTGAAATCACAGAACAAGTCCACATTACTGTTATTTTATATGAGCATTGAAGCAGGAGTTTCTTTATAATTCTTCACATTTTTGAATACTGCATGGGTCATGAAATGATTCCTATTTTTATCAACATAAGTGATATAAAGAGTTTAAAGAAAACTAAGGGCTCCACCACACATGAACAAAGAAAGTATCTTCAAAACTTTAAAGAAATCAGCACTTTTAAAATGGTTCAAACACAACAAAATGACAATACATAGAATCAATTACAATATGTCCAGGAAATGATGCACTCTTCATCCTGATGGAGTAGAAATCTTCTGTCCAGGTGGTCCATGCAGGTGAATTGTTTCCTTCTGCAAAACAGAGAATATGGTGCAATTAGGATTCAAGAATTAAAAATTAAAAATGAATACAGCATTTCATTTCCCCCATGTTGTTCAGCAGTGAGTGAATTGATCTCTACCACAACAAGGTTGTTGACCTTTTTCTCATTCATCACTATATAGTTGAATTTTTCAATTTGATTGCTTGTTGATTTGGTTAAGGAACACTAGATATGTTTATTCAGGGTGGAAAAAAATGCAGTACCACATTCTTAATGTTCAAAACTAGAAAAAAGAGGATAAAATAAAAATAACTGTTTGAACACCAGTATGAACAAATGTTGGTCTCTAAAGTACCCTGCATGGGCTTGCTCTTTGAGGGAACAAAAAGTCAGTTTGATGAAATGTATGGCAACAAGGTATAATAAGTTAAATTGGTGGAGGGGCAAAGATTCAACTTCAACTCATGAATTTTTTGGGAATGCTCAGCTATCTTATCAAATGAAATCACTAATTTTGGCAAATTCCTCCATCAAATGTTCAATTGAGAATTTTCCAACACTGTTTTCCACATAGACATTACATTTCCATTGCATTATTGAATATAATTAATGAATGAATAGATGTGTTCTCATTTTAAAAATTGATGAGACTCTGGGAAATTTCCCAAGCTGAACAACTTGCAAGGCAAAGCCCTTGGCAGTCAAACAATTCAATTATATTCCAAAACAAAATTGGGCCACTTCCTGAGCAAAATTTGTCGACAGTTCATTATTCCGGAAAAACAATGGGGCGCATCATGTTTCACAATTAATGAAACAATGAAGCAGCCCTAATTTACAGACCTCTCCGCTATCCAAGGCATTCATCAGGTACTCCGGATAGTCCAGAATGAACTTGATTCAACTGTGCAACATTTTCACATGCACCAAACTGAGCCTGAAGGTGTTCAGCGGCCTGAGCATTAATTCCTTGAATGCTGGAAGTGAACCTCGTGAAGCGGTCAATGCCGATTTGTTCAGCTTCTTCCGGAGCCAATGTATATAGGGGATTTGCAGGATTAACACTTTTGTTTTGCCTTCAACAATGTTGATGAGCGACTCATGAATGCTCACAGGTAGATGCTGTAATAAATAAATAAAAAAATTGGAGATTGATGTTTGGCTTGCAACGTATCAAGGGTAGAGCATTTAACTTGGTGTCTTTGGCCACAGGGTTCAATAACTTCAGGAAAATTGCACTTTTGTGAAATTCAGTCACTCAGTTGGAGCTGAATGTCCGTTTGATCATTGCAGGCGCACCCCCAGTTGTGTAACAGCCATTGAATTCCATTTCACTGAACACCTGTTTGACTACGAAGAACAAAATTAATCACAAGGCTTGACACAAACATAATTTTACAAAAAAACGCACTGTGTTTCCTTCATGGAGTAGCGAGTAGTCCTTATCAAAACGTATGCTTTGTTGATAATGTATTTGACTACGAAGAACAAAATTAATCACAAGGCTTGACACAAACATAATTTTACAAAAAAACGCACTGTGTTTCCTTCATGGAGTAGCGAGTAGTCCTTATCAAAACGTATGCTTTGTTGATAATGTAGTAACTCAGCTCAAAGGAGTTCATCAGTTCCAATAAGTGACGCCCTTTCTATTGTCCGTTCAACGCCCCGATCACTGAAACAAATGATCACTGAAGCGCAGATTGAGACGTGGATCGCAGACAATCTCATTACAAGATTGTCTTCAATCCACATCTCAATCTGATCCCTGATTTTTTTGGTTTTTGATGGGATCTTGCTGGGATCATTACCGGTATTTTATTCCCGCAAGCAATGATTATAGAAGATTGATTGCATTTTACTTTGTAAAAGATTCCTTGAGATTTGTAAGCACACTGACACGATTCATGAACCAATACATGTTCGGAGATTAAACTAACCTGAGGCCTGAGAAATATATGGGACAGACACTTTGAGAAGGGCTGCTTATTTGAGGGGCTTCTGACTTTTTCTTGGCATCCACTATACGACCGAATCATTGGTTCTGCGTCTGAATCTGCCATTTGCCATACCAGTCCATTGTCTCCAGCAGTACCTAAAATATGAATTCAATCAAACGCGTCGAAAACATGCTCATTTTTCTTACAAGGGGAGAGAAAACGTTCAAAATTTCGAATTATTTGATCCATTAACGCAACAAATGAATAAACTCTTGTACTGGTGCTTTCTTTGTTTCTATAACTCAAGTTGCATCAAACACTCACTTTGCCAGCATAGTCAGCAAATTTACTTTCCAAGATTCACAAAAAGACAGAATTCTAAACCGGATACTCCGCGCCGACGGACAACTCTGACCACAAATAAGGGCTGGCTGAATCTCTGGGAGCCACCATGTTCTTTACCGCTAATATCTGTGGCTCCCTCTTGCCGCTCAGTCCTTAAAGTCCACGTCATGGGCTTGGCATGGGGGTTCCTCACGGCCAGAAAGTTGAGCGTGAGGAACTGTGGGAGGCGTGATGATCATGGTGTGTGTCACTAGGGAGAACACACCATGATCATCATGCCTTTGGCTCCCACGCCCTCATTGTTTGCTGGGAGGTTTCATATAGTAAATGATGTCGCGTATCGCGTTATTACGGAGATTGTCAGAGAATTTTCTTTATTTCTGTACAGTACAGTATATGCAAATAATTTGTCGTTATAGAGATGAAATGGTTTTATGAAGTTCAGTATGTTTGCGTTTCGAATTCGAGCATTACTTGAAGTGGATGTCTAGATATTGTACTGTACGTAGTGTAGAGTACGTTGATTTTATAAAACTCTACTTTGCCAGTTCAATTTCCCCTAAACGAAAATAAGCGTGACAACCCATCTTGAATCGGTCATCAAAAGCGCTTTTCGATCAACGGAAACAGTCGAGACTGATCCGGCGCTTTTGGCGTTCGGGGTGAGATTCAACTTCGCTTCCACTCTTATTTGATTCCTTATCACTGCTCGACCTTGTTCAATTACGACTTCATTAGACCCGATGAGAAACAAGCAGCAAGGCCGTATTCTGTTCTGTTCCACCATTGATTTTCTTTCCTGGTTTTAACTGCTCAATCGAATTGTGTAGATTTTCAGCCTAACGGGACTATATCGTGTTAAATCAAATGACGACGACGGTGAACTCGTCGACGGTTCTCGAAAATTCTGTACAGTACTTCGAAAATCCTCGAAAAGAAAGCTTCGAACAGTTCTCATCTGGAACCCAAAAAGTCAACGTTAAACACTGTACATGCACTGTATTGTGCTTGCTTCATTCGACTTGGCATAGAACGTTTTTTAGCGTCACACAGATGTCACCACGATTGCGATTGAATTATCCTCTCAAAACGAAAAAAAACCCAACTTCAACATTAGTCGAAGATGCTTCTAGTCATTAATAATCTGTTATATTTTTATATTTATCATTCCGAAAATGCTCACCTTGCAAAACAAATTTTCAACCGAAGTTATACCGATTAGCTAAACGAAGTAACTGACCTAACCTCATCAAACACACGAAACTAAATCGATTTTTAATACAATTCAGTCACATCAACCGATTTTATAATCCGTTTGATGGCCTGAGCAGCAGTAAATTGGAAGAATAATTTTGCACAGGCGACACCTATGCGAAGGAAAGTAATCACAGATTATTCGGGATATATGCGGGGGCGTAATGATAACGGAACAGGAAAAACGCGTATGAAGATGATTTGGCGTATGACGTCAGCTTTCGGTTTGACAACGATTTTCCCCAGTTTTTACAAGAGCTACAGTAGTCAAGTCAGATGCTGTTCGTATTCTCGATAAAAAAGGATTGGTCCAATTTTTAGCTTCATTGCTATAGAACTCCAAGGAAGTCTCGCTAGGAATTTCAACATCTATATCTCTCTCACAGTGGCCTTTATCCCCTGTTTTCCCTAGAAAGAAGCGTTAAAAAACAATCACAAAAGCAAGAAGTTTAGAGTCGCGTATGTATATGAAATGAAAATAAACAGAACTGGTTTTCCCAAAGCTTTTTGATGGCGTTCTCTACAGTAAAGTAAAGTAATGAACTCATTCGCGGGTCGTTTGAAGTATATATGCGCTTCTATTTACTTGTGTTCAACACGATTTTCTATAAGATGTGATGTGGAGCTTTCTAGATGTTTCTGTGACATTAAACCCATACTGCGAAGCATGACGCATGTGTCAACCTCGGCACGAGATGAAAAGTTTACTCTGTACCCCCACGTGTGGGCTTGAAATGCGTCGCAAAAAGCGAGTCTATTTTGTTAATGATTGCAGAGGACTTGGAAAGCAGGCTGGCAATGATGGAGNTTTTGTTAATGATTGCAGAGGACTTGGAAAGCAGGCTGGCAATGATGGAGACCCTGCTTACCGACCAGTTGAATGTGCTGAAAACCATGATTCTGAATGTCGAGGACAAACTGGGAAATCAGGAGGAACAATACAAGAAACAGTTTCGCAGAGTGCAAGCAACTCTGATGCGACGGATTCCGACTGCGACTGGGTCTACCTCGGTGGGAGCTGCTGTTTCTGGAACTTCTTTGAAACCCACAGGTACGTTGAAAATGTATTTTCGTTACAATTGTGAACAGAAAATCTTTTTTAAAAGTACCGTACAGTTGAGCCTCTTTAAGTCAAACTGAAACGGACTCTAAAACAGTGTTCCCCATCGCGGGGTCCGCGGACCGGCGCTGGTCCGCAGAAGTTTTTTGCCAATCCGCGGAAAATTTTTCGCATAATAAATGCATCAAAAGTTGTAATGACGTCTGTCATTGTTATCTGCTTGTTTGGAAAGACAATACAAAACATTAAACCCATAACAATTCATCAAGTTCCCGATTATTCTCATTTTGAGATCACGGAGAAAATGGCTGCTGTATTGTGTTGATGACACACTGCCCAATTTTCCGCTATTCATGTTGAGTTCACCCAGGATCTCAATCTTCAAAATTCAGAAAGATGAGCGTCAGAATGTGAATTTGTGAATTCATACGAGGACTTGCTTTTTTTGCCTCGGAGTTTCAGCAACCGAGCAATGATACCGTACATTGAATTGATTTTTAAGGAAATTTAATGAGGCTCGAATCCACGGTATTTTTGAACACTTGGAAACTTATTCTATCCCTCTTTTCCATGCTTTAAATGACAGAGTCAGAATCTCAGTTTGTTTGAATCCTTCTGTAATTCGATGAAAACGATGGATAAAGTTAATCGCTGCGTTTCGAGACATTGCCAACAAATAAGTTCTTGATGATGCATTGGCCATAATCGAATTCCTTGCATTACCATCACCTTCATGTATGGCCAAGTTCCAATGGTCGTTGGAAACTTCCTAAAAACGCTGACTGAATACCGATGCAGCCTATACATAAAAGTCGTAATTTTTTCAATTGCTCGTTTCGCTCTTTACTCAAAGACGAAAGTTTCTACGGGAGACACGCAATGCCGAGAAATTTGCAGCCAACATCGACTTCGCCTCCTGGAAGTGGCCCGAGCACGAGTGGGAATCAGAATAAACCCGAGGCCACGAGCAATAAGCACTTCGCGGATTTGGACGAAACTGTGGTTCCCGGAGATGACCATCACGGCATATTGGCCGGTGCTGATCAGGTTTTCGGCACTGACACGATGCAGGAAGTGTCGGACTCCTTCCGGTTAAGCTATTTGGACCACGGGCAGGACGTGGGCAAATTCGACGCCGGGTCTCGCCAGTACGAAATAGACACTTACAATGCGACCATTTCCGAACTCAATGGACAACGAGTCTACAGGTCAGCATTTGTAAAAAATATTTTATTATCCTTTTATTGTTTTCAGCCTACCATCAATGATCAGCAAATTCATCCTGAATAGGATCCAAGTTGGGCAAACATGTTTATACCGTGAGGGATGCGGATGTAATTGGTGCTTTAAAAGTGTCCCTATGCCCGAATTTCCGCATATGCCAGACCTTGTTTTCCCATAGATTTCCACGGGATCTCATTTAATTGGTTCTCCAATATTCATGGAAAAATAGGAAAAAAACCGTAAAAATGGAATAAAATGTGTCTTAACTTAAAGATGCATGATACGCTGTATAACTATTCATAATAAGGAAGCCCACACAGAATATGATCCTCTGGCATGAAAAGTTCTAAAAAATATGAACAAAAAGTGTGTCTTGCTATCCTGTGCATATATTATGGAGAATGCTAAAACAATTAGCACAAAATCGACCTGTTTTTGAGTAAAAATTCAAGTAAATATAAAATGATATCCAGTTTTAACTTCTGTGAATATAATTAGCTCAATTTGTTCAAGAGGATATTCACATTTTGAAAAATTAAAATGTTCCAATTTTCAAGATATGCTGAAAAAGTGTCTGTTTGTTGAAATATTGTCTAGATGTTGGCCCAATTTTCTGAATTTTCATTCAATTGCCCCCCAAGTAAAATTGTCTGTATGTCAGGGTGTCTGCATTTTGGGGTCTGACTGTATTAAAATGGGGCCAATGCAGACATAATTGGGGCTTGGACATTGTCCCCATGTCAAAACAGTTCCATTTATGTCAGGTCACGTTTTTGCATAGACTTCAATGAGAAAATATTTGATTGGTTCTCCTGTTCATCAAAAGTTAGGAAAAAATTCCCCAAAAAATTTAAAAATGTGTTTTCAACTTCAAGATACAGAAATTAACTACAGAAGAAAACCAAGCAGAATCCAACCTGTTGGCACATAAAGAAGCCCAAAAAGTGATGAACGAGCTGCCCTGGGCACAGAGTTGATGAAAAAAAAAGAAGCGCAATAATAATATGTTTTGATTATAACTTATTGGAGAAAATTGATGAAAATATTTATTTTTAATTTTTGTAAATATGCATACCTGGTGGAATACTTGCCTATACAATGATTTTCTCTTTAACAAACATTTATTTTTGGTCCCATGGTTGGTTTCTTTCCCCATCATGTTAAAGGGGTTCTCTAAAACAAATTTCTCTCTACAACGTTTTTTTCTGGTCCCTGGAATTTTTTTGTAGAGAGAGTCCAACTGTAGTTCAGTTTTATTGAGAGGTGTCAAAATTGCAGCAGATTAAATTCATCGATTTTTTGGAAAATGTTGGCGAACTGTCCATATATATCTTTTTACATTTTCAAGGTGTTGGGGCAAATTCGTTTGAGTTTCAAAGTGTCCACAAACTGAAATATCAGGGCGAACTATGACAAATTCAGAATGACTACTGCAAATTTGCGGGCATCAGAATTTTCCGTATTTCGCAGCACTTGAGCCATATGCCAAATCATGAAAATGGCCTCGGTGGAAAAAGAAACTCATTTTCTCGTGCGTCTTTCAGTTTATAATGTCAACTGCACTCAAGCATACTTGGGTATACACTTGGATACCATTCATTTAATTTGCTAAAAAAATAAGCAGTTGAAGACGGGGCTGACTTTTAAAAAATTGAAAGAAAACGCACTTGATGCTCTGAAAAGGAAAGCAATTGCCCGTTCTGAAAAGGATGAACAACATCGCCTATAAATAGCACGATTTCAGGTTCAAACAGTAATATCAGATACTACGGTAAAACGAATGATGCCCATTACTGGAATTCAATTTCAACTTCAGGAAATTGTTCGATAGGGAATACATACACGGAACGAAATGTTCGGAAAATCAGACACTCACCGAGAAATTCTCTTTCCTTGTTTATTTTTTGCACTACTGAGGATGAGATAATCTTTATTTCGATTTCTTTTAAATTTTAGCAAGCAGTTTTATCGTAATGCTTATTAGCAATTATGAAGAATTTCAGATTATTATAGACGGTATGAGGCTTCGAATTATTTTCGAAGCCCCTTGAAAAGGTGGTGTACCGTACTTCAAAAATGATTGTCTTTGGCGATATTGGTGGGGATAAAGCAGCTGTAAACTCAACTGTACTGACCGGAAGTGGCTGAAGCGGAAGTATTATCGCTTCGGAGTCTGCTTGCGTGCTTCACCCCATTTCGTGACCGGATATCCTAAAACCTTGCTCACCTATTGCCTCGTGAAACCCATCCAATCGTCGTTTTTTTCCAGGAACTACTGAACGCGTAATCGAATTTCAAACTCACTTTCTATCCATCTTAAATGCGGATTTGCGCGTTTCTTTTGTGTCAGAAAATCATAGGAGAAAAAAATAGACCAAAAGGCCTCAGTTCGAGGAAAAAATCTATTCGGTGAAGTCACCTAGTTCACGACACATTTTAAATTGCCCATTGCTTAATGTAGGAATTTTGCCGTAGTAGTAGCAGTAATTATTAATTAACCATAAAATGAATCGGTTAGGTTACGGAAATCAATTGAGAATGCAACGTTTTCTGGTATTTTTTACTTTGAATTTTCAATTTAATTCTTGTTTTTTTTAATTAAAATTTCCACGCTGGTTCCCCGTGGTACGAATATATTAAATGTGCGCAAATCTTTGAACCACGGCAAGAACGGTTCTTTTTTACGCGAATTAAAAAGCTTTTTTGGCCGAAATTCGACTGATTGCCTCAGATATCCGAGTGAACAGAAAATCTGTCCTGGCATATGATGGTAATAATATTCTTTATTGGATCCTTGAAGTTGAATCTCAACGCTTCGTTGAATATACGACTGTGGTACTTCTGGCGAGTGTCCGTCTTGGTCGATTTTTTTTCTGTGCAGAAATTCGTGAGAACCAGTGTGGTCAGCATTTCTAAAATACGCTTGCCAATGTTTTTACAATCTTCCCAAAGATCCGCACATTCAGCACATTCCTGAGTACATCCGGTACAATGCTTTTTTTTCTCGGACATGCTGTTTGTTATCCTTCTGTATACGTCTTCTTTATTTTCCGCCTTTCCGGTGGGATATATTGGGGATGTGAAGACCAGATCAGAGCCAACCAGATTTTTTTTTTCAGAACTTCGTGAATTTTAATCTTTTGGAGAAAATTCGCGAACAAAATTGGGAGGCTTGAAATGCAGATTTGCACGTTTCTTTTGTGTCAGAAAATCATACGAAAAAATGACCAAAAGGCCTCAGTTTGAAAAGC